TTTCGCCACTTTCTTGAATAAAAAGGCCAAAACTCTTCCGCATCTGAACTTTTCATGTATTTTACTAAATTTGTGACATCAATAACATCTGATCTTTAGTCATAATTCAGTATAGTATACTATCCGAGTGGATCACATTGTCATATCAATGAATAGAATGGGATCCTGTGCCTCTAAAACTTGAAAGCTCTTGCAGCATTCGCCTTACTGGTTATGATTGTGTCACTTATATCCCATTATCATTCTGAAAGTGTATATTCCTCATAAACAGTACGTATACAGACGTTTTGATTGAAAAGAAATGAAAATTTTGATTAAAATGTAACAAAATTGAATTTTCCACAAAAAAATTGGAAAATTCATTATAAAGACTTGTTTAACTCCATTAAATGTCTTCAAAATTATTCAGTGATTGTCAAATGGCTTGCTATAAGCAGCTTGCTTAACTGCGTCGCCCATCGTGCGGCAAGCAAGCAAACATGCGGACACATATACGGCAAGCGAACCATATGTACCAAACAGTTTTCGTTCGTGCGAGATGCGGTATCTGTGTAGACGTATTGGTCGCACGTACGAAAACCGTGTAGTAGATATGGTTCGTTTGTTTTTGTAAAATTTTGAAACAAAAGGAGAAATTTCTACAGCGAATTTGAAGTATATATGGTTACCAATTCTATTCAAAACTAATGGTACCAATGTTTTTTTCATTTTCTTCAATTGAATAAAGCCCTCAAAATATGGCCGATTATCTCTAAAAATCAAAACAATTTCTAAAAAAGATTGCCCCCCTTGGATTCCTGGGGTCCGAATGATGTGATATCAGTTGTTTTATTTTTAAAAAAATTATGAAATCCAAGTGTGTTGTAGTTGGTTATTAAAAAAATCTTAAAAAGGTGGTCGGCCAAATACACGCTTTTTCCAATTTTGACCAATTTTGAAAAATGTCGGTTCTAAAAAATGTGCACATTGGTTCAAAATTGGGTGCTCTTTCGATCTATGATAAAAAAAATCGTTATTCACACATTTTTTTTTAACAAAATTACGATTTTCATCGATTTTTCCCCATTTTTTAATAGTATGGTCATGGATGGATTGAAACATATCTATATATATATTTTTTTTTCACAATTTCTTCACTGTATGCTCAAGGGAAGCTCAATATCTTGCTAAAGAGTCAAAAATGACGTATTTTTGTTGAAAAATACCCGGTATACCATAATCTTGAAATTCTCCAAAAATCGAACATTTCCGAAAAATTTTTTTTACTTTGTACAAAAAAATTGGTTCGTTATGAATTTTCCCAGATATGACACACACACACCAAAACATCACAAATTTGGTCCCCAACAAACGCTAACCAGTAAACGTTCAAATATGTCACATCCCGATTTTCGATTTTTTGCATTTAATCGGTAGAGAGGCCCAAAAAAAAAATATAATTTGAACCATTTTTGCCCAAATTCATATTTGGCTTTTTTATGCCCCTCGGTGTTCCCATGGGTACCATTAACTGATCACGATGATCTATGTCATGAACGACTGGAGATAATCGATTACTTTCTTGGGCAAAGTTGTAGTCCCTAAGGAGACGAAAAAAAATTTATACCACGGTGACCCTCCCAGAAAACTAATGCTGTAATTTTTTTAATTTTGGTCGGTGTGAAAAAAGTCATGGTCATTTTTCCAAAAAAACAACACATGCAGCGCCATCTAGCGATCATTTTCAATTTTTTTTTCCAATCTGACTTCAGATCTGGATAGCTGAGGTTCGTACCTTTCCAACGACATATAGATCATTACCTCACCTTTCATATGCACAGAAAGTAGGCCATTCGATGAAAAACTGAAAAAGTGCATTCCACTTTTTTTCAAACCTAGACGTCAGGCACTTGTGCGACGAAATCGAAAAATTCGAAGAGACATATATGCTCAGTTTTCCATCTACTTTCGAATAAAATCGGTCTCCGGCGATTTATCAAAAAAAACGGAACAAAATTTGCCGACACACAAACATATCATTTCTCAAATTTCGTGTTTTTTCGAAAGATTTTTTGACATGATCATTATCTTGGGCACTTTTCGATCGATTCCAACAATTTTTTTTTTTTCAACACTATCTACCCGAACTCCAGTTTCCGAATATGCCATTTTTCGGAAATTTGTTTCTGGTTTGGGTGGTCAAAAATGGACGAAACCAAAAATTTACCTTTTTTTGGAAACGCCACCTAGCGGTCAAATTTTGAATTTTTTTAATTTTTATTGCGGATTCTTAATTTGGTGCCCGAGCACTACTAAAATATGCAAAAACCCTTTTCCAAAAGTCAGCGGTATCGATTTTCATTTCTTTACAGTATATATAGAGTGACGCAAAAATACATATCACATATAAATATTTGTATATGTATGTTGGTATTGCGTCACTTGGGGGACTGCCGTCCCCCGTGATAAGTCTAAAGAAAGCACTTTTGTAAAACAGTGCGCATGTGTGATTCAATATGCGAGCAAAATCTCATCATTTACTTTCCAATTAATTTAATCGACAATTTAGAAATCAAAATTGGTTTACTATAATACAATGTTTTTGTTTGAATAAATAATAATGATAAAAGTACATCGTTTAGTTTACTTCTAGTCTTATAATATTCGTGGTTTGAAAATATCTCTCTTTTGCTCAAAAAGCAAAAAAAATGGTCGAATTACTCCCCACATTACATGTAATATTTTCATTCGAATTTAAATACAATGACGTTTTCAGAAATCAGCCTAGAAGTAGACATTCTGATCATTTTCAAAGCATATCAATGGTAAAAAGCAATCTAAAATGTTAATTTGCAAACAAAATGCAGCCCGATGGTGTTTTCCAGATTTAAACTAGTCTTGTGAACGGTTTTTATAATATTCAGAACATGTGAAGTTAATGAAGACTTTTTTCAACTTGAACATTTGTTGGTTATCAAAAATTCGCTTCGAACTACTACAACATCTGGAAATTTCGGTACACAATTTATTTCTCTAGAAAATCTCGTTTAAAAAAAAAAAACAGATGGAAAAGTGTCACGAATTTTACTCAAAATTTCATTTAAGTTCAATCAGGCAACAATCCCTTTCGATCGATCGCATACGAAAATCATATTTCGAAAATAGCATTCGTTTGAATTGAAAGAAAAAAAAACGACAAAAAGAAAAGAAATCGCTTCAAAATGTGGTTGTATTTGTTGGAAATTTAAATGAAAGATTAGAATGCGCATCGATCGTTTGTTTCAATTATTGATTGTTTAAAAAGTACTGTATATGATACCAAAAATAGCCTGAATAAATTTCAACGAGAAATAATCAGTTGTCCCGATTTTGTGCAATAAACAAGCGTTTTGTGTTGATTTGGGACTGCATTCGAGCAATAATGACCGAACTTGAACTAAATACGGTTGCTTGTTATCAATACAGTTGGAGACTACAGCCACTATTCAATTTATCAATTATAAAAATCATTCGTTGACTTGCTCAACTTGCTCAACACTTTTTGGATGTTGGCTAGCACAATGCTTGCTCCAATTCCTTTCCATCGACGACGACGACGACGACGACGATAGCAGTGCTTTTCCTTTTATTGTTGGGGTTATCGAATTTTTGTTGTTCGAACTTTCAACCAATTAAATCAAACTGTGAATGAATGCAATTTAAATTTGCGATCATTTCTTTGCAAATGTTTCTTGCCGGGGTCAAAATTCGAGAGAGAAGCTTAAATGCGATGTGACCGTGAGAAATTTTGATAATTGATACGCTGAGCATTTCATTAATGTCCAAATTCAAGGCCAGTTAATAAAATCGTTGACGTCAAGTGCCGTACCGAAAACTGGTAAAATGTAAGCGGAACGAAACTTGATTTTATTATCGTCATCATTGATTTCTTGCGAAAGGCTTTCGTCGAAAGCATAAAAATAATACAAACAACAATAAACGGTTGTCGATGCTGTTTTCGGATGGAAAAATGTATTGTCCTAGTGCTGTTTGTTGATTAAATTTCACAATTTTAGGCGTGCCTTGTCAGTTTAATGACTCAAAATGTCTGGATCTTTGACTCGTCAGAAGATCTCAAACCGTTGATCATTGCGCCATTTATACTATTTTTGGTTTACTCTTCGTGCGCGCTTGCTTTTTTTCTTCGTTTAATTCATTTTAATCATTATAAAAATTGTTTGGATTGTACACAGTTCAACACTTATTTGCTTGAATAATTGAGACAAAAAGAACGCATTGAAATGAGTAAATTTTACTGATACTGAATTATCTTATGTTTCCGAGCACGATCAACAGCAGCATCACACGCTCATACATATTTTTTCCTCACTCCAAACTTCATTCCTCTGCGATTGAATCAAAGCACAAACCGAAACCAAAAAAAGAGATAAGAATGAAAACAAACACCGAAACTGTCTACATTCTAACAAAAAACTGCCTATTTCGATCGTTCCAAGCGCATGTTCTAACATTTAAAATGATAATAATTGTCAAAATGTGCATTTTTGCAATGCTAATCGAACTTCGTCGATTTAACTCTAACACTCTCGGAACCATGCTATGACCGCTCGGTATTGTTTTGAATCATTTCCATGAAGATTGACAATAAATACTCAATAAAATTGGCGTCAAGTGTCAATGAACATTACCATGGCTATTTTGAATGATTGCAAAAGCAGCCAGTCATACAATCTATTAGTGTTTAATCGTCAACTTATGAAACTTTCTTGAGCGTCCCGATCACAACTTTATGAGGATTGCACTACTGAAGCAACTTTCTGTGAGTATATTTGTGTGAAAAGGCGATGTATGTAGGGTGCGATTGCAAAAACACACATAATTAAAGAGTTTCAGAAAAAAGAACGGCCAAACTGAAAATAAAAAAAATATTGCTTCATATTTTTTTTATAACACACAGAGAGACGACTTTGCGATAAACTTTTCGAGAATCGTGCAATTCGAGGTTAGCAAAGCGAGCGAGTAAGCACAGTGCGTCGATTCAAATGTGCAATCATTAGTTAATCACAGTCGCGTCTCTCGGCACAACGCAGCGATGTCAAACAAAATTTGGCAAACAGCGTATTAAACAAAAAAACCTCTAGAAGCGCGTCCGTTTGTTTTTGTTGGCCAATTGTTTTGACGTTGAAAGAAAACGCGTAAAAAAGGAAATAGGACGTGCGTGTTAAAAAAAATTAACATCGAAGTGTGTTTTCAAGTGGTCATCGCAATTTGATTGCATTCGAAAGCAAAAATTTGCGTGTCATTCCAAACGGGGGTGGAAACAGTGGCCGCCAAAAATGTCGTCAAATATATTGGATGATAGCAGTGAAGGCACAAGTTCGAATCAAAGTTACAGTGAAAATGAAGATGTGAATACCGAAAGTGATACAAAATCGGCGACTAGCCAATGTGGCTTATACACAAATGCAAGAAACGAAGATGACGTTGTCATTATCAATCAGATCGATAATGTAATCACCAACGAAAAGCATTTAATCAATTATAATAATGTTGACGTAAATGGCGACCATGCCATTAGAAAGCCGTTTCAATTGCGAAAGATGTGCTGTAAGTCAATGGGATCATATTAAGATTGATCTGATCGGATTTTTTTTACTTTGCCGTCTAAAGATGTTTATTATTATAATCAATTTCTTTTCCGCTTCGATTCAATTGAAAAACCATTAGTTTCGCATTCATCACGTTCTTATTTATATACAGTGTGCGTGCTCTTTTTTCTATTTCAACTGGAAATTTATAAACAAGGAAGTTTAGCAGCATGCGTCTGTCAAGTTGCGTTGATAAAAAGCGATTATGTTTCCTTTTTTTTTTTGTTGTTCCTATATTGTCTGTTTGACGCAGTTATAAAAATCGAAACAATAACCCGACTATCATTTCTTGTTTTTTCAATCGTTCTCTCTTTTTTTTCGATCTATTTTCACTTCATATTGAACTTCAAGGCACTATCACCACAATATTGATTGGTTTATTACTCTTGGCCTGGGGCCTTGTAACAATCGTTTTGCCAATTTATGATTTTGTGCTGATCGAACGACTTAAAATGCAACCCGGACTGCCGCCTTTTGAAGGTAACGACCGCCCCCATTACAAGATGATGCTTTCGAAGAATTCTAAATTAATTTGAAAATCACGTGTGTTTTTTGTTTCTCTATCAAAGAATGGCGGACCCCATCACCAGAAGTGCTACTTCGTGTTTACATTTTCTCCGTTGAAAATCCGGCCGCATTTTTAAATAAAACCGACGATAAATTAAAACTGAAGGAGATTGGACCCATTGTTTACAAAGAACATTTACAACATCGAAATGTTGAATTTCATCGAGAAAATTCGACATTATCGTATACGGCTCATCGAGATGTTGAATTTCTTGAAGATCGAAACGAACCAGGCATCTTAAATCGCACCATTTTGGTACCGAATTTTGTTCTTTTGGTAAGAACATTTATGCACATATCTTCATTTTTAATCATTTCAAATAATAAATTTATGGATAGTCAAAACAAAGACCGTGACGAAGAGTCTTCGTTGAAGACCACTTTTTTGAAGAATTTTTTTCGGCCTTCAAATCCATATTTATTCAACCCCTGGAGTTTATATGGAATTGTTTCAATGGATGTGATACTCCGTTTATTAATATAATTATCATAAACAGAATTATCATCGAGTGTTTTTTTAGCTCAATAAGCAATGTTGCGATGATTTCATGAACAGGAAGGGAACAAGTTAGACAACGACTATTTATCATTAGGGAAAAATGTACTTTTTATGCAAAATTATCAATTTACCAAACGCAATACAATCACACCGCACAATACTAGCAACCAGTTAGATAGACGTCAGCATTAATCAGTTGTAGGTTTTTCTGTATATTGGATTTTTTCTTTTGGTATTTGTGCTAGGCGGTTTATTTGAAATGAGTGATACAACTTTTATAATACGAGACGCCGAGTATTCAAGCTCCAGCTGATAGTCGCTTGTTTGGCTTATTTTTATACAATTTATCAAGCTCGTTTGCCACGAGCCGGTAGATTATAGACCAAACCAAATTGCTAGCTGAATTGTGACCGATACACTTTGAAAAACTCGTAAGAAATTGTGAATTTAAAGAAATTGGAAACGACATATCTGGAAGTCGACAGAGCAATTAACCGAAAATTTGACGCATATCAGTTATTTTGGCTGAATCATGTTTGAATTCGATTTTTTATATTGACTTACTTCTTCTCAATTTCACTCTGACTTTTGATTCATTTTAAGTTATCACCAACAATTCGAATGGAAGTTGGATTAATCCGAAGTGCCATTTAATGAATTTTGAGGGGTGGTTTTCGAGCAGCTGAATACACGATTCAACAAAAACATCGTGACACTCAATAGATATTAGATATAGAATATAAGATAACGTACCTTCAACTTAAATCGTACTTCCCTTGCTGCATTGAACTCGATGCAGACTTTGGATTGCTACTTTGCATTAGATTATTTTAAAATTTGAAGAAAAAAAATCCGTTTTTATTTCCAAATGATTTTTTGCTCTCATACAATAGGCGACCATTGCATCTTTAGAAAAATACCCGTATTATTTTGTGAAATTCCCATTTCAACAAATGCTAAGTGAGGAGGATACATTATTTTTGAATATGACTGTCAGAGATTATTTATGGAACTATAAAAGTGACATAGTGGAACGAGTTTATAACTCGTTTTTCTCATTCCTCGTACCTACCAATAACAGTGGCTGTTTATATCAGGTAAATTTGAATATTGAAATATTTGTTTTTATTTCGATTTCGATGGGTCTTCTTTTCCTCAGATTTATTCAAATTTCGAAGACCGTTATAATGTTCGCATTGGAGCGGGATATGGATTCGATCACTTTTTTGAGATAACAAGTATGAATGGTGCTACAGTTGTGCCGGGCTTTCAATCATCAAAATGTAATGCATCGATAGTGGGTTCGACGGAGGGTGCATTGTACAAAAATCGTCTGGATGAAGATTCAGTGTTGTGGTATTGGCGTAAGTCATTATGTCGCCAAGTTCCATTGTATTTTGAGAAAAACATGACAGAAGGAAGTTTTGATGCTAAGAAATATGTTTTACGTGAAAATGTTTACGATCGGTTTGAAAATGAAACCGAAGATTGTTACAAGGGATTTGTTGACCGGTTGCCGAACGGATTCAGCGACGTTTCAAAATGTTTTTTCGGTAAAATTTTAAATATTTGCAACGTTCATTGTTGATGCAATGTGATTTAACTCTTTGATGGTTCACAGATATGCCCTTTGCCGCATCAAATCCACATTTCTACGGTCGATATCCAAATGAATTGACGACCAAATTAGACGGCTTGAAACCAGATCGAGAAAAACACCAAAGTTTTATTATTGTTGAACCAGTCATGGGCGTGCCCATAAATCAATCGGCACGATCACAAAGTAATGTCATCATTCCAAAATTAACCTATTTTAATGAGGATATTCTTCGATTCAGTAACATGGCACTGCCAACATTTTGGGTGGAATACGTGAGTTTTCCATTTTTTTTATACAGTTTTAAATTCATAAGAAACAATTGTTCATAGTTTCGGAAAGGACTTCAAAATTAATTGAAAGAAAATTGGTGGAGATTCGATTTAAATGTCACTTTGCCATTTCTTCTGAAACCATTCCGAACATGAAGAAATATAGTGGGCAATATTTGAAAAATTGAAAAAATCTCAATAATTTTCCATTAATTTGTTTTTTTTATGAATGTTTGAATGAAAATATTTACAATAAAAAATTTAATTAATTTTTGCCAAAAAAACATAGCATAATATTTAAATAAATGACAAAAAAATTGAACCGTCAAATCATTTATAAAAAACTACCAAAAATAGTAAAATGATAAATTCAATTTTTACAAAATTCTCTGATGAAATTCTTATTTTGTAAAATGGAATGAATTCCAAAAATATATATTTTTGCCTAATGATAAAAGTTGACAAAAAATTAAATGTGTCAATAATTTTTTTCGAAGCAATTTGCAAATAATAAATGTATTTCCTTTGTCCAACAGCATCAGAAGCAATTGACACCGAAGATCGAAAAGCTGATGTACTTCACCTTATTTGTGTTACCCTGGCTTCAATATGTGATAACGATATTTTTGATGTTGACCGGGCTATTGTGCCTTACACTTGGTGTTGCACGTTGCATGGCACAGGAACCATCACCGAAACAGCTAAATACCCCGCCATCAAAATTTGGTACAAATTACAAATTACAAGAAGCGGAAATCACATGGAATATAAAATAGGTTTACAAATATACAAGTGTTAAGCGAATTCGAGAATGTATGATATGAATTTAGAATGAAATTGTTGTTCATTCCCAATCGATTATTAATTTTTTTTTTGTTCATAAGCGCAAATAAACGATAAGATTGGTACTCACAAAAAAGACATTTGATTATTTTTTTACATTTTTTTTAAATTTAATCATTTGAAAGTTTAAACAAAACAAATTCTATTTTCATTTGTGTGATAAAAAATAGCATTATTTATACAATCTTATGAACTAAATAATTTAAAAATCATCATTTTATTCGGTTTTATACATTTATAAGCCAAATTGTGTTTTTTTTTATATTCAAATTAATTCTAGCTCACCATCATACAACTTAGAACATAACACGATCTATATTGATTCATTTTTACGAATGAGATACTTGCGTGGTTGTTATTTTAAAATTCTTTCTCTTTTTCTCTTTCTCTTTGTGTGTGATTTTGTGTACTTTTCGTTTAATTTGAAAATATTTGGCGAGAAAAATTGCACAATAAACAATGAACAAATTTTCAACAATTTTCGTTTATACTTTACTCAACAAATGTTATTTCGCCGAATGTACACACCATTCGAATGAATTTAAAAAAAAATATTACCATAGTATTTCTAATGAAACAGAAACACCACCGTCACCCGAAACGATCTTATTTAGTTGAAAGTTTAAATTTGATTGATTTTTCCCATCATTTAAGAATTTAATGAATTACAATTAAACGTAATTTCCCTTTCTTTGTGTGTTTGTATTTTGTGTAAAGCAAAGAATTTTTATTGTACTTTCAGTTCCGATCGGTTTGTTTTTCTTCTCTTTTTTCGGTATAATTTAAAAGAACCCCCCCAAATTTTCGATATATATTTTTTTACATGGATTTTGATTCGATTGGTGTGGAGTCTTAGGTCTCGATAACAATCGCGATTTTTTTTCTTTTGATATTTTTTCCCCTTTTCAGAGAAAAAATTGCATTTTCAGAGAAGAAAAAGACGTGTGGGTGTGTGTATTTTCTTATAAAACTGTATCTTAATCTGGATTACAGGTTCGTCAAAGAAGTTGCTTGATTTGTTTTGTGTGTTGCTCATTTACGAAGTTTTTTGCGTTTATTTGATATGTGTTGTGTTTTGTGTTTTGTATTGTGATTCACATGCTCATCATTGAAACGTTGTTTATAAATTTTCTGTCGATGATCGGCTTTTAGGATTGGTGACAGAATGTGGCTCAGTTCATTAATGCGCTTTTCAAATCGTTCTCGATCACGGCCCATTTGCTCCCATTTACCTTTGCGAGCTTCCGAATATGCATAATTCCATGCACGTATCTCATGTACTGTTGGGCGCAGATTGAACGTCACCTGTAAATACGAAATTTATATGAAAAACAATGGAAAAAACCCATAAACAACATCAAAATAACAAAAAAACAAAAGAAAAAAATATTTTCATGCATACACGTGTTTGTATACAAGTATATCGAAAACGTGATAGGTCACCGAAAAAAGACACATCGTGCAATATGCACATAGTTCAATCGATGTACATATTGAATCGGTATAGATGATGACGGACATTTTTTAGAGGGGGGTGATGGCAAAATTCCGTAGGGGGTCCCTGGAAAAATCCATGGGGGGTCCCTGATGAATTTGTAGGAAATGAGGAAAAAATCATTTTGTTTTGCTCTTCACTTTTTTAACGAAAATCCCTAGCGAATCGGAAGAATTTTCCAACTTCAAATTGCCTTCCAAATCCGAAATATGACAAGAAAATCGTTATTTTTTTCGCTCTTCACTTTTTGGCGAAAAACCCTAGCAAATCGAAAGAATTTTCGCGGTCAAAAAAGTGAAAAGCAAAAAAGGTCCTAATTTCCAAAATTGTTGAGGGTTCCTAAATATATTTTAGAGGGGGGTTATCCGAACCCTAGGAACCCTCGTCATTACCTATGTTGAATCGACTAAAAATAACATATTAACTATCAGGTTTCTTGACGTTTTTTTTTTTGTTGTTTGATATGAATGGTCAATATTTGCTTCAAAAAATTCCCTAGAAGGCGGTACCAATCGCCTTTCGACATATAACAGAGAATTGGATGAGAATACGAAAGAGAGACAGATGAGATGAAATCAGACAGAACTATTCTTTTAATAGTCAATACACAAACAACAACAATGACGTCACTGCGTCATGTATTGTCCGCACACAGTTACGCATATGTGTGGAGGATTTCACATTATTTTAAAAAGTTGCGTCACTGTGCGAACACGAGATAAAACACATGCCAGCATCAAGTATGAACGACATTATTTCCAAGCGAAAGGCTGACCATTCCCAAAATGACCCCGAACAGTAAAAATAAATGAAATGAACCAATTTTACACGTACTTAGGAACAATTACCATTTTATCCATATGGCATGACATCGAATCGACATTCATTCATGTTTTCATTTAATTCGGGTTTCTTTTGAAATATAAATGATCGTTAAGTTTTTCAACAACTCTCGAAAAATGTCGAAAACAAACAAAAGAACTAATGACAATGATAATTTTTTCTTTTTCCATTTCTTTCTCTTGTTTTCCACATCAATTTTGTTGTTTCAATTTTTTTTATCAAAGCAAATAAATCGTCAACAAAAATGCTCAACTGGCTAACATGAGTGATATGCGACAATTTAATGCGTTCTACAAAGTATATACAAAGAAATAAAATCACACATATTGATAGTGATTTTCCGTTGGAATTTCAACTTTGTTTATGCAACGAATGTCACTACGTCGTGGTATTCTTGCATTGAAAAATTCAGTGTGAATGCAACATGTAATAGTCCATTCGAATGATGAAATTCATTACAACATTCAACCGTTCAATTGCAACGTGATATGTAACTTTTGTGTCTCTTTTTAGAACCATAGAAGGCGTTATTAAATTTGCATTTTAAATGGATAATGCACACACGACAAGACGAAACTGAAATTTGAAGGTAAATGTCAAATCTTCATCGTATTTCCATTTGATGATTTTTCTCGTTTTCGAAAAAAATGATCAACATTTCGTTATGATTAAAATAGACGAGATTAGTACGGGTGTGCATTTTGATATCTACCGGTATTGTGTGTATACATGTATTTAGTCAACATTTTAAAATTCAATTCACGAACATTTCAATGTCAGACCGATACGCTCATTTATTTGCAACAAAAAAACGACATACTTTTTGTTTCGTTTTGTAAAATGTCGATTCGAAGCAGACAGTCATTTTTTTCTACGTTCGATTGTTGTCTAAAACGATATGGGTATTCCATCAAATTGGCTTACCTTTTTCTCTTCAGGACCAGAATCTTGATCTTTATTCTCTTCAAAACCAGAATCTGGTTGATCTTTATTCTCGACATCATGCTTCCGCATCAATATTGCTGTATAATCCAAACAATCACTCTCAATATCACTTTCTGCATTTGATTTTTGTAAATGGAATAATAAAAATAATCGATTAGGTGCTTTTGTTTCTACTGAATGTGTATCGTTAATAATAGACTATCAGTTAAGGCAAAAATCACGGTTGAAAAAAAAATAAAACGTGGTGTGAACATACCATCCTCACTATCACTGTCGTCCGTTGAATCGGTGAAATCTTCATCGGTGGTATCGTCATCGGGATCGCCTTCAAATAGAATAAAATCATCGCTGCATTCGGATAATTGGCGTTGACGATTATAATAATTTTTGAGTGTTGTTGTTGTTGGTGTTGTGCCGATGAGGTCATCAACACTGTTCGTCGATTTAGGGCTACTCTCCTCAAATACAATGAAACTATCATCACTTTCGATTTCTGAGGTGCGTCGACACGGTGACATTGATAATGATGACGATGATGATGACATCGATGGTCGTTCTTTGGACGTTGGTTTATTTATTTGTTGTAATTGTCGTGCTTTATGTTGTTTATAACACATTGCTAACAATGGTGATTTCTCTTTCGAATTGTCTAAACGAAAGAATTTCGTAAATATGCAACCGTATGGAATTATTTCGGGCGATGGAATTGGTTGTTCGGTTTTTATGTTTACATCGTTTTTAAATAATTCGGGCGTTTTATCGAATGTACTTAATGCTGAACAATTATTCTTTGGTGAATCATTTAAATGTTTTGTTGGCAACAATTCATCGCCATATGAATTATATTGAATTTTCGTGCTGTCGGCAACAAAATCGATCGTATCCTCGCCACCATCAATATAATCATCACAGTCAAAAAATGTGTCTTGCTGATAAAAATTCATCAAAACAACGGATTTTTCACAGCTACTAATAAAAATTCTATCGCTACTATGATTATCTAAATAAATTGTTGGTGGCGATTTTGTTGGTGAACTACCGTTCATTGTGGTATTGGCCGCCATAACAACACCAACACCGCCGCCGACGCCGATCTTATTTTTGCCGTTGATAACGACGCCACCACAATCGTTCGTTGTGGTCTCGTTCCACAGCATTGATTTTAGTGATATCGAAAGGCTGTTGGTTTCGTGGTGATGATGATTATTATCGGTTAAATCGGTACCCACAATCATGGATGTCATATCGATGATTGGTTTTATGAAAATGTTCGACACAAAACTTTTTATCGAACTAACCAATGTATTGGTGGCCGTTGTTTGTTCGATTCGATCACTGTGGATACTGTGGCTATTGTTGTTGTTGGTTTTGTTATGAATGTAAAATTTACCAGTGCTTTCGTTCACTTCCAATTCCATTTTTGTGGTCGACATTTCCGATTTTTGTTTCTTTTTTATACAATTATATTACTTTTTCACTATTCACAATTTTCGTGTCGTTTAATTTAAACGTTTTAATGTTATGCATTGAATTGTTTTATAAAAAAATTCTCGAATTCTTTTCTTTGCCATTTTGCAATTGCATCAAAAACTTGATGATTCGTTTAAAATACACTGAATTTCATGTTGCTGCTTAATTTTTACCCATTTTTCAGAACGAAACGAATTTTTAACAATCAATAAATTAGATATTCTCAATTGCATTGTTTCCTTTGTTTTCTCCATATTATTTTCACGATTTAAAAACATATTATGAAAATGACAATTTGAATATTTCATCTTTTTTACTTTATTTAAACAACATTACTCTCGGCCATTTTGAACGTAAATAATAAATGTAGACGTATGTGGTGTGTGGAATGCTCGTTGTTGTCTAATGTACAAATATTGGAGGGAGACACGAATACAAAGAAATATAATATGAATCATGACATTTAATCAGTGAGTACCTTGAATGTATGAGTCATCGCACACAAACGAACTCGCCTGTATGTATACGGAACGGGTGCGCATGTGCTCAACCATTTGAAGGACAAGCGTATACATGTGCTTATAATTTACACCAATACACATACATTTTAGTTCTAATTTCGATATTCAGATGTAGCAATCGTACGCATATCATATTTAATTATCGTTTTATTTCGATGAGTTTCATCATTTGATGTGGATTTATTTGTTTACCACCTTTTTTTAATTCCAATTTTAATGATTTAAGTTTTTTAACCAGATTTGCGTGCATAATTTGAACATCGATTAATTCTGATGGGGTATTGCATCAGCCAAATAACAACTAGTTCAGTTATTTTGTCGGTAGAGTACGTTTTGGCGCCATTTTTCACACACCAATCTGTCAAAATGTAAAGATTAGCAAATTTAAAACAAGTTCGTTTGATAAATTTCATTTTTATTTATGCTTATATATATGTACTGAATTACTTGAAATTGGTTAGTATAGAAAATGATTTATCCTTATTATATCCTGAATGTATGATAAAGAAAAAAGAAATGAATGTATTTTAGTATGATATTGTTCGCTATAAATGTCGATGGTTTTACTTTTTCTTCGACACTCGACCATTTTTCACTTTGTTGAGTGTATCTTTAGTGGTTGTTTTCTTTGCGGTGGTTTTCTTTGACCGTTTTGCTGGAAATACATATTCTTCTGAGTCATCTGCATCGCCATACTTTTCCAGCAGCCTATCAAAGAAACTATTTGAGGACTGTTCGCGCTCCGATTGGCGTTTCATTATTTGCTGTTCCAAGGTGCCGGTCATTTTCGACTTTTTCGCCATATCAGCCTTTATTACTTCCGATTCTTTTGCTTCGCGTGCATACTTTTTGTGGCGTCGATTACGTTTTGCCTTTGGCTCATTCGTGAATTGTTCGTACTCTGGAAGCTCACCGCTTGAAATCCATTCTGAAATAAAATCGATTTTTATTTTCATGCCACCAAAAAAAACCACACGGCTATTTATGGAAGAGTAATAGGCGCATTTACCGTAAATAAATAAACAAAAATGGTGTAAGCAGACTCAATTCAATTTTTCCGCTACACAGAAATTGCATGCCATTTGTTTCTTCACTTACCTTTGACCTTCTCCATGATTCGTGGTTCGTCTTCCACAGTCATGAATGGGACACTATTCATCATGAAATTGATGCAACCCTTTCCACCCAAATATGCCTTACGAATGTCACGCTCCTCTGTCTCCGAACCTAAAATCCAAATTTATTTTTAGTCGAATTGATTTAACACAAAAAATAGCAAATGTAACACATACCGATGTATTTCTGATGGAAATTCTCAATATCAGTTGTTGTAATTGGTTTGAAGAATTCCCGCCATAATTTCAACCAATTGCAATCGCTATCACCGTCATCGTCGATGATTCCTTGCTGATCGTATAATGCTTTTTTATCCGGATCAGTTAATACGGCATTGATTTTGGTGAGCACTTTGAATTTTTCGGTGGCATCTTCCTTCTCCGATTCACTTACACGATCCGGATGCACTTGTAATGATAGTTTATAGTATGCCTTTTTCACTGCAACGAAAAATAATTTATAATGTTCCGAAAAAAATCAATAATTTTCATGTTTTTGCATAAAATTGCCTGTTTCAATTGGCAAATATTCTCTACATATAGCTTTCGTATGGAATTTTTTTCTCTATACATACAAAAAAAAAAACATTCTATATGAACTTATTTAAAAAAGAACGATTATGAAGGAAATCTCATCGCAATAGTCTAAAAAGTGACGTGTATCTATCGAATTGTTCCCTTTGCATAACATCAAGTAAAAAATTTGATCTAAAATGTGTGTTACCGTCTTTTTCCAACGAATCCTTTGTTAAATTCATCAATTTGTAAATATCTTTGGTGCCAAAGTATTTTTCACACAATTCCAATGTCGTCGGCATTTTTACTGGTAATGTTCAATCAATTCGAAGAAATAAAAAAACTATCAGCGATTACTTTGTTAAACAACTGCTCAAACTGTTTTCGATCGATTTAAAGAGACAAAAACTGTTTTACGGAACAACAAAAAAAATATTTTCTTTACATCAAGCACACAGACACATATATTCCGATAGACAACTGTATTTGAAATGGTAAAATTTTGACATTTCTCTACAACAACAAATTCCCCATTTTGGTGAGATTGAAACATTTGCGCGCCAGACAATATGAACTCGTATTTGACAGCGAACGACACCACTACCATACTGTGGTGGTATCTCTTTTTGACAAAGAGTCTTTTTTTGTTCGCTTTTACCGTCGACCGATGAACACAATCTGCATTGATAACAAACAAAGTTCAAACAAAAAACTTTCAATCAGAAAATCATTTTTTTCCAAAAGGCACTTTTTAAATGGGATAAAAAGAAATGAAATGTCGGGCCATCAATTGAAGATCAGCTGTGTCGAATGGTTTTCGATTGGTAAGAAATACCATGACAAGAAATAAAAGAGAATGATTTAAAAAGTAAAATACGACAATGCGTAATTGAAATCTTTTGTTCAATTGAGAGCGCAATTTCGATGGTCGAACGAGTCTTACTGTCTTCAATTCAATTCTCACATACGTGTGTGAGATAGAATATAAATGCGAGACATTAAATCACACAAGATCAAGCAACAATAAAAGCGGAACAAAAAAATGAGAGGGATGTATGTGCGATATTACACCGTTTTTTCTTCTTCATATACAGAATATAGGCGTAGTTGGCTGCGCAAAGCACTTGTATGATCATAAATTCGTTTTTTGTTCTGTAGAGTGTACGTTTATTTTGTTGTTGTTGTTTTGTTCACTGGGAAGTGCCAGTTTAATATTTTCCCGTTGAAAAATTGCATAATAAATAGGCGATTGACGACTTTTTTGCATAGCGAATTGTGGGTGTCAAACGATTTTTTTTTCGCATTCAAAAGTCAACCGAATATCGACGTCGAACAAGAAGCATAAGCAGCAGCAAAGAGCCTAAACAAACGATTTTCTTTTTGTTTTCGAGCTAAAATGTCCACCTGTCAAAGTGATGTAAGTAAATATTGACATCCGTTGTCCAGATGGAGTGAGAAAAACATAAGAAAAAGGAAAAAACCCAAAACAAATGACAAAAAGCTAGAGATTTTTCTATATCATATTGATTTGAGCTCCTAACGATCGCAAGCTGAATAGATTTTTTTTTTGTGTAATGTGTTGTATTTTGCTATGCACACATATCTAAAATAATGTTTTTGTTGTTGTTGAAAATGTCGCACTCTCACACACAATGGCACCACCTATAACATTTAACCAGCCGTGTAAAGCAATTTTCAAATACACATGCCCGTTTATACTTTATTATCATTGTATGTGCATACACAACAGCTTGGCACATCGAAGCTGCCAGTTCGTTCTATTCGACTGAATACACCGTATAAGATACAATGGAAATATGAAACTCTCTTGCACCCATACATACAGATGACGCATGAAAATTGGAATTGAAGGAACAAAAATATAAAAACAAGCAGCAAAAATAAGAAACAAACACCGAACACAGTCAAAGAAGAAGAAAAAAAATTATACATATATACGATAAAGAAGAAGAAGAAGAATCGTTTTTGGAATATTGAAACGACAACGTTAAAAGAACCGTATTGTATTGCTAGCTCTTTTGAATAAAAAGTAGTAACAAGATCGCACAAATTTTTACATTAAATGAACACCATGATAATATAACGAGACACCCAACTCAGCGAAAACGAAGAATAATAAGAAGAAGAGGAATTAAAACGAAGCAGCAATTTTTGTGCGTGCATTTTTCTTTTCTTCACTCTTTCCCTCTCACTCTATCGCATAAAAAAAAACAATGTGTGAATAAACGTCGATGAGTGAAATACAAAAAACGCGAAAAAACGAAGAACATATATAGACTGAATTAAAGAGCACATTGAAGAAAACAAAGCGATAATAAAAAAAAGCAAGTGAAGTGTGTGATAGAGTATGGTTTTTCTTCTTTCATTTGAGAATATATTCGTTTGTTGTTTTAAATAATGAGTGTGTACATTACATTTATTACGCTCATATACCGAACCGTTTATGTATTCGTGTGTGCATTTTGCTTAAAGCTCTTCGTTAAAGTGAATCGTGTGTGCGTGTTTTTTTTTCTTTCATTCTTGCCTTCTCTTCAACATCACATTTTTCCCTTGTAGTTTCACATGCCCGTGCATTATAGATCTCCACACATACACATACACACACGCATTAGATTGTTACATTTTTACCAGTTTATACCATTTTTTTCTCTCTTCTTTTCGTGTCGTTTGTATGTTTTGTTTTGCCGTTGTTACTGGTAGTGCTGTGCGGATTTTTTTTTAATTCTCTCGATTGTTTTTGTTATTGTAGTGAGAGAGAAGACACAAAAAAAATATAACATACATTTTTTTTTTCAAATCCAATGTTCTTAAATATATTCTATTCAAGTAGCTAAAACGATATTCAGATATTCTAGTTTCGTTCGACGAGGTTAACGCAATTCAATCGCATCGTTTGGCTTCTTTTCATCCGCATTCAAATGTGAAAACAGTCAAACATAACGACGAAACAAAAACAAAGTAATCCAACCACCGACAGTGAGAACGATCCCAATTTTTTTTAATCCCAGTACCAAGCATTTTGTCATAATATGTGAAAGAAATTATGTTGTCCACAAAAATCAAGTTGTCAATTAGATTCATTCAGAACAAGCAAATAGATTGACATAATTTCAGTGCAACCGTCAGACGTACCATAATCATTTTCTACATATACACACATACACAAATTGTCGCTGTCTCTCGGTCGTATTTACTTCCGTGGTAAAGAAAACGAAAAACAATCATTGAACACGACGCCATCATCGTTCAAATTTAAAGATTTAAGATCATTCGTCGCGACAAACAGATAATTCGTGTTTTAGAATTTCCATTGTGTTAGACACGACATGAAATCAAACAAACCAACCAACAAATCGAAAATGCAGTGACACACTTCGTTCATATGTTATAGTGCTAATTAGACATTGTTATTAATTACAATTCGTTCTTCTATTGTTTAAATTCTTATCAAAAAGCGTGTTGAGTCACAGCACAAGAGAATGAGCAATGGAGTAGCTGTAACGAAAGAAGAAGAAGAAAAAAAAAACACACACAGCAGCATATTTGAGACAAGATCTGATTCTTGATTTATTCACGAACAGAGAAAAAAAAACAGAAGCAGAACAGAAATGTATTGTGCAATGTGAAAATGCGTCAAGTGCAAAGCTGAGCCAGCGAACAAAACATAGATAACCCTAAACGAAATTCTATAGCAAATGAAACAAAAGACAGTTTTGAGAGATACCAACAGCCAATTTCGCGCATATACAGCGGCAGAAGCATCATTTGTTGATTATATGTTGTGAGTTGTTGTTGATCTTCGTTCACTTAGAATATAATAGCGATCAAGTAGCTGGGTTTATTTAGATCGAAATCTTACAAAATTCAAAACATCGCACTATAGTGTTGTGAACAACCTGCTGAAAATGAGTCCACAATGACTGTATGAGTGTGTATGTGTTTATTCAATTCATTTCGTTCTTGAGTTTTTTTTCTGTATTTCATCTGTCGATAGAATCGGGCTTCCGTTCGTGCACCAAAAAATGCGCAGTATACACAAAAAAAAAACACACGCCACTGCTGAATTGCATATCAAAATAAATTGAGTGACAGAGTCGGCGGCGAACGAACCAAACGAAGGAAAGAGCGAACGAAATAGAGAACACTTAAAGTAAATATAAACACAGTAGCCACAAGTGACAATAATAATGAACAGTGTTTCGGTTTCGAAGGCAATTGACCTATGCAATTTAAATGGCAACAAGACACAAAAAAATAAGTAATAATTAGACACCATAGGACATAACAAGAATAAACACCGATCAAAATAAGGCACTAAGAAAAAAAAACACCAATGCAATAAACACTTTCGTATTGTGAGCAGAGAGAGAGAAACACGTAAATTGAAATAAAAAGTTGTGCGATTTTTTTGTCATTTGAAATTTGCTGACGGTAGAGCATAAAAAAGGCAAGTCTAAAGCCGTGATCGAACGACACATTGTGTCGAACCATATGTATCAAAATATTATATGGTCAGCGAAAAAGAAAAAAAAAAACAAATTCATTGTCGCAACCGTAGATCTGATCAACAAAAGCGAAAAAAATATTTGCAAAAGTAATCATAACAGAGCTCGATTTATAAATGCCATACCAAACTAAAGAAACCGTCCGAAAATGTCAATACAAACACATTATGTGAATTGAGTAAATTTACGTAAATTTCAATTGCGTATTTTAAACATTGGTGTCACATACACACAGACACACACAAGGTGCACAAAATCGGAGTCCGGTTATTGTTTCTTTCAAAAAATTTGACGTTGTTCTTCAAGATTGTTGTTTTTACAAGTACAGTATAATTGTTGTCAACAATGTAAACGATATCGTTCATTGCAATCTGATAACCCGTGGCCAAAAGAACACAAATAAAATAAAACCACAACCACATGAGTGGTGATCAGTCGTTCTGATCAAGTTGATTGAATTACACGATTTTTGCTGCGCAAAGCGTAAATCAAATTAAAAAAAAAATGTCCTATACGACGGCGGAAACGGGACGTGTGAAAAGTATCAAAAGTAAATTTGAGAATCTAAATAGTTTGGAATCGTTGGATATATCAGTGATGGTGCCACATAAATATCGAAAGCCATCGCCAAGTTTCCTATTCAAACGTTCATCCACATCGATCGATTTGCCCATCCGACGAATAGCGGTGCCAAGCAATCGAACGCCACCAACAAAATCACCACCGTCGCCACCATCGCACAGCGATAATGAGGCAAAAAAACCGATGCCATTGGGCCATTTGCGACGCCACAACAATTTAGATCGAACGGTGTCGGCCGATACGGTTGTGGTGAAAAAACGAAATTTCACATCCAACGGTGAAGACGACGACACATTGAAACCGTTGATCGAAATTAAAGAAAATGTTGAAGTTCGATTGCAACGACACATAAACGATCCAGTCAAACGCAGTAGCATTAAGCGAAGTCCAGCATTTCGTGTTGGTGAAAAGAGTGCATCCAATAATGGTAATTCAAAGAATACAAGCAATTCAAAGTCAAATCGAAATGAGCATGTGAATGGTGGTAGTGGTGGTGGTACGACAACGGATGCAAATGTACCGCCCGTTGTACCAAAAGAATTTGCGGAGAAATTTGAAAGCCTTTTGAAACGATGTGATATTGAAGCAAAACAACAAATGGACGATTCCGGTTTGAGTGATACATTGAAAGCATTTCTACGGCAACCATTGCCATCTGGGCCTCCACCACAGAAACCACCCCGCACATTTATCGATTCACCGAAACAAGTACAAAAAAATTCGACATTGAATGCGTCCAGTGATAATGATGATGAGGCTGTGGAAAAAGAGGAAACAAAATGCACACGAAATTATGTACCTGCTGTTACTGCACCATCATCAAATGCACCGACCAACGAAATGAGACAGAATAACATGCGACAGAAAATTGACCGTCTTGAAAATCAACTCGTACTTAAAACCAATCACAATAACAATAGAAAGGGAAAAAGTCCAAGATCGGCATTGAGCAAAGAGAAACTAAATCCATTTAGTAGCAGTCTATTGAATTGCATACCATGCTCATCCGCATCGATTTATGACACCGGGATCATTGGACCCAATCAATTCGGTAAGGTGATGCGATCAAAAGAACCGACCACATCCGATGAACAACAAAAAACCAACAAAATCGGATCGTCGTCAAATCATACACGAGCAACACAATCGACAACAGAACCAATTTATATGGAACCATTTGCACATTTAAAACACTACAATGCCAAAACAATGAACGGTTGTTCGACACCAACAAATCAGAAACATGGTGGAAATCATTTTGTGATCGCATCACCAACAACACCATCCAGTCAACATTTATGCAGCACAGAACCAAAGCTTCTATCAACGCCATCATTGTCGAATAATGGATCATTTGATGGTCCGGAAAGTTTGGGCTCTAGTCTAACATCGACATCGTGCACTTCATGTACGGCCGACGATCATTCAATCACCGATCTTCATGACATTCATTATATGGTGAGTTGTTGGTTTGAGACGGATAGCGTTGCATTGCATCAATGGACGTGACCTCTGAATATATCATATTTTCTTTATATATATATACAATATATAGATATTGCCGTGTGTGTTTTGGCAAATTTTATATGCTTAACATTTGGGAATGGGGCAATTTCATTATTGTTATGTCTGTGTGTTGTTGTTCTCTAATTTCTTTTATGCGATAAAACCAAAATCATCGAACGAAAACTAACCAACCGAATAATAATGCTCAATTTTAACCGGTAGCTTAAGTAGAAAACAAAAACCACAACCATATGGCACAATGCATAAAACCAAATTCATTTATTTTTTCATTATTTGTCCCTCGTCTTCTTTTCTACTCATTTTTATGTTTTTATTTTTAACTCTCACATCCAAATGCTAAACCATTTTAAAGCAAATGTTTTTCTTTTGTTTTGAATAATTTGTGCAATTGTTAGACGCTTTAAATTTTTACGCCTATTGTTTTGTAATTTGATAACAACAAACGCTTTTTGTTATTTATAAATCTATACATACTTTTGAGAGGACAAAAGAAACTATTTTCGAAATACGTGCTAATTTTTTTTTGCTATATTTGCAGTGTACGAGCATCGATTCGAAAATTAAGAGCTCCGATTCGGATTCCAACTCAAATGAAAATGATCAACCATTGCCCAATAGCAATACATATGATGAGGTGAGCAAAATCGAATTTTTTTTATTTTGAAAAAAAAAAAAAAAACAACTCATCGACCATTTTTCTTATTATATTTTCTCGCATCAGATAAATATTTTGGTGAATGCGGCCTTTGAACAGCATAAATCAAGTGACGGAATGGGAAATTCACCATCGATATCGCATTCGTTATCGCCACTAAATACAGAGAGCGGAAATCAACAACAACAGCACCAGCACCAACAGCAGCAGCAAAAGAGTACAATAAAGTTGTCGCGAACGTTAACGGAGAAGCGAAAAGATTATGTTCGTCGGGTGTCGGCTGTTAAGCAAATGCAGCCCGACAGTATATTGACAAATGATTCGTCTCATCAAACATTCAAACCATCGGTATTTCGAACATTTTCCGTTGATAATACGGACGACGAGACCAGCCACAATGATTCAATCGTTAGTAATGTGACTGTAAACAGTAGTAAGCAACATGTTTCACCGAAAAGTGTTGGCGCCAATGATGGTAACAGTCATTCAATGTCGATCGATGGCCGAAACAGCGATAAAATTGATATTGCCATTGATGATGTGCTGGACGGTTCCAGTCAAATGACCGATAAAGTGTCCATTGATGTCGATGACGATGAAAACATTGATAACGTACCGAAGCTATTTCAAGTGTGTCTCTTGATCGGTTTCAATAATAGTACACACCAAGCGTATATCAAAACAAAATTTCCGTCCGACGAAGATATACCACCGAATATTGAGCAATTGGTGTTTCCCAGCAAAAATTTGATAAATCAAACGCGTAAAAATCAAGACTACAGTATTATTTTGACCGATACGAATGGATATCATGTTTATGGTTATTGTCGTCGCATATTGCCAGAAAGTTGTGATATTTGTTTACCGCTCGCCTATTGCATTATCAGTGAGATAAAAGCGCCTGGTTTTTATTTTCGAATTTTACGAGAAATCGAAACACGACATGGTCAAGCCGAATTCCAAACAAATTTTCTACTTCAAAGTTTACAAACCCGTTCAATACCAGCGGCTGGAAAATTTTTACACGTAAAACTTCCATTGTCACCACGACCAAAAACCATATCATCCACACATCATAAAATTACACCGAAACGATTGAGCTTAGAAGTGAATCCAAAGTGGTTGACAGAATCGGCAGCACAAGCGGCATTTAGTAATTGTGAATCGGCCAATATATCGGTGACCGATGCAATGCCAGCAAAAAAAGAACGTTCAAACGCCAAATCGCTGGTACAGGAATTCGAAGAGAAAAAACAACAAAACAACGGTGCACCGTTTGATTTGTCGCTGATCAATCGCAGTCTATTCAATGGCAAACACAATGGAAAATGCGATGAGATTTTTATTCGACGACCAAATGATTTACGACTTGAGAGTACAGAACTCAGTGATTTGTATCAAGCCATGGGACCGGATCTATTGATTGTCGTATTTAGTAGTTTACTGTTGGAACGTAAAGTCATTTTATTTACGGAAAATATTTCGATTTTGGCATCATGTGTACTGGGGCTACAAACATTGCTCTATCCATTTCAATGGCAACATACAATTATTACCATTTTACCCGAATCACTTGTTGATATTTGCCAAGCACCCATCCCTGTGCTAGCCGGAGTGCTAGAGCCAATCAATTTTGATATTGAAGACGGTATTGTTGTCGATTTGAATACAAGAACACTTGTACAGAAATGCGGTGATGAGACAACAATTCTGCCAAATTCACTTAGCCATTCGCTTAAAGTTTCACTCGAAATGGTAGACTTGCTGGACCAAGGGAAGATGCTGTCCAGCGTCTTGATTGCCGAAGCATTTTTACGATGTTTTGTTGAACTATTCGTTGGATATAAATACAGCCATTTTGATGTGAGTACCATAGATTTATTCGTACTGTTTTTAAACAGCAGAACTAATTCGTTTCCTTTCGTTTTTCTCAAACAGAAAAAACTATTCATCGAATCTCATTCATCACAATCGTATCGATTATTTTTGGAGTGGTTTGTGGAAACGGCAATGTTTCGACATTTTGTTCATCAAAAATTTACACAAAAAGACATGGTAGCAAGTGCTGGACTGAGTGTGACCACCGTCGAATGGATGGGCGCATCAAAATTCTACGATCTATTCGATTCGAGGATAATGAAAAATGAAAATGAGTCACATTCAACGCAACAAAATATGGAAATGATCATGAAAAATTGCAAAGTGATCAATAAAAAGGGAAAAACGTTCAAAGATCGCTTTAGAGATTTCATCAGCAGCAGCAGCAGCAACAGTACTAATAATTAAAATACTTTCCCAATCTCTCGAATGGAAATTGAACATGACAACATGGAAACTAATTTACCTCATCTATATTTATGTACATTTTTTTTACAAGAACCCTCGTATATAACCGTACATATTGACAAAAGAAAATCTAGCTACTCAGTAAATCTATTTTCAAATACATGTCATACTGTTAATATAGTGTTTGTGTCATTCGATCATTTTCGTTGTAATGATAATTCGCGCACAATTTTCGAAGAAATTTCAACAAAATCAAATCTAATACAAATATGTATAAAAGAAGAGTGTTATTTTGTCACATTAATATAAACATAGAAATTTTAGTTTATTTTTCACTTTTTTGCACAGATGTTTTTTTTTGTTTGCTATTTATGAAACGCGCACGTGCGTATAGCAATAAGATATTTATATACATGTTTTTTTTCTCTAATGAATAGAGCGAAAGAAGCCATAGTTCAAGTCCAGAAATGAAAAAAAATAACTGTTAAAATGTATTTAGCAATATAATGATTCTTCTTAGAGTACAATTATGATGGAAATTAAGATAATTAGGACCATTGATGCTAGAGTATCATATTTTGTGTTATGCATTCTCATTCAAAAATAATAATTACGTTAAACGTGTGAAAATCAGAAAAAAAGTTTTAATTTAAGAGAAAGTAAGGGCCTTTTTTTGTGCCTTATCACATTATTGACTTCATATACAGTGACATGCATTTTTGCAAATTCAACAATTTTGGCACAGTGAAAATGTTATTTTACAATTAAATAGTGAGCGAATAAATTGAGTTCGATCATATTTTGTATGTTATGCTTTTTGTGCGACCCCATCTTTAACTGAGCCAATAAACTCTATAACAATTGTTATATTCCATGGAAAATTATTAATACGATTTTTCTTTAATATTATTGAGATGGAGTGAATTGAAGAATTTCTTCATTGGCTTATAAGAAGGATAAATCTGTATTTTAGGAATTTTTATTATTTTTCGCTATATTATTATTTATAAGTGAGTAAGTATATACATCTGCTCAAAATTCTGAGATTCTGGACCGAACCAACCAACTTGTCATATATGCAGTGAAATAGTGCTGCCTAACATGTCAGAAGTTACGATGGATTTCCTCGGTATTTCAAGTTTTCAGTCATGTTTTTCCATAATATGATTATGAACGAATTTTAACGTTTTTAAGCTCAATTAAAATAAAAATATAAAATAAAGTTGAATGCACCATTGCGGTAAGTCATTTGAAATTAATAATAATTGGTTGAATCGATGTTTTTTTATTTACACAATTTAGAGAGATTTGAACATAAAATAGCCAATTAGCGACTGAATCTGACAAATGGGTGACTCCACTCAAATTTAAATTTCCGTTCAAAAACTTCATGCTGGTTTACAATAGCAAAGACACATATAAGCATTCGGATTATTATCATTTGCAACATCGCAATATGAATACAAAATTGGTCAGAGAATATGTTATTTTTTGTGCGACACAAAAGAAGAAGAATATATTATTAATTATATTCGATTTCTGCCTGGCTAGATGAAAATGCCTTGCATTTCAAAAATATCCGAATACTGCGACACAGCACTGACGCTCTGTTGCTTGCATACACCGCAGCGTATTCAAGGAACAGAGAGACGGTACTGTGTTTTGTGTGGCGTATATGTTCTTAAACATGCTGTGTCGCAGTATGCGGATATTTTTTTATGCTGCCCATTTTCATGCCTTGCATATATGTAAGCAAGACTGAATCGTTGCTTAAAAGTTAAGCGCTTATTAAATTGCATTGTTTGATTTGTTTGGTGTGTTTTGGTTTTTCTCCCCGTTTTACTTTTCCGCACACATAGTGTAAGGTGAAAAGTATTGTAATCGGTCAAAATTTTGAAAACTTCAGAAACATGTTTTCTGGAAGTTTCTGAGGTCAGGGAACCCGAATCAGGCCGTTTTGAGCATGGTTTATGTTAGTCTGTACGTCGTACGTCGTACGTTGTACGTCGTACGCAAAATTTGTTAGCAAGATTTCGCTCATCGTAGAAACTAAATTCAAAATCTGACTTTACAGGATGATTGGGGGTCCCGAGAAATAGAAATCATTAGCTTTTGAGCGATTTTGGTTGATGGAAAAAAATGTCATGCCTGTAGTGATACCTATGAAAAAGAGTCCAATTTTCGTCCAAAAGTCATACTTAATGTAGACTTAAACACTCAAAAATATGTATTGGAGGGTTTTTTGGCACGAGAAAACCGAATCCGACGTTATTTTTGAGATACAATCAATTTTTGATACAGTTTCCTTGAAAAAATCACAAAAAAATTGAATTTTTGTATGGGAGCCATGCCTGTATGCTACCTTAATGACGTGAAACTTTGCACAGTCTATTTTTTACACAAAAAAATAACATTCTGAAAGTTTGAAGAGATTTCAATCAAAATTAGGGGTACCTCTTAGGTATATTTTGTATGGGAGGTACCTTTAATTTTGGTTGAAATTTCTCCAAACCCTCCAAATGTTATTTTTTTGTGAAAAAAATAACCTCTGTAAAGTTTCACGCCATCTTTTCTTGGGTACTTCTGCTTTTAAATTAAAGAATATTTAGTTGCCAAAGTTGAAACATATTTTGGTCTCGAACTTTACGCCGCTTAAAAGGCTTGAAAAATCGAACAAATATTATTTTGAACTGGCTTAATAAAATACGCAACTACCACCGTGCGGAAAAGTTCGTCTTACTCCCGTAAGACTCTTTATTGAATTTGATTTATTGTCTTCAGTTTTGGGCAATCAAATTCTATGTGTTCCATAGTTATTGGAATTGAGAGTTCACAATTTTTATATGACCAACCCAGCACCAAAGTTATATTTAATTTATAACGTGCTTTCTTCGTACGTTAATCTATAAATTACCTGCTCACCCGGCACATACGCATGGTTCAAAAGAGACACTTTACAACGTGCACTTGCTCCGCACAGAAATGGTAGTCTATAAAAATGATCGCCGATTGGTAATGAAACCCTTTGGTCGTTGAACAAATTATATTTAAAATCGCAAAATTCCTCGCCCCAAATTCATTTTTGTTTCAAATCGCACCCAAATTAAAAGTGTACTGAATTCAATGAACAGTTGTGTAAAACTAATCGTAAACAGATATTTTGAAAAAAGAAAATTATTCGAATTGAGAGATTATTCGAAAATAAATTCCTGATAGTCGATTTGGGAAAAACGTAACGAATATAATGTGATAGCGATGCGAACGTGTATATTGCAAAATCTTCACTTAATTGCTAATTGTAGTTGATTTTGAAATATTCACAATACATTCAGACTCACAGTAGCAGAGTTCGTAAGTTCAGCAGAAAATTAGTCATCTGTTTAAAATCAGAAAAATAGACGAATAAAGTCGACTGAATAGTAGGGTGCATCCTTTTTTTTAAATCAAGTATGTGCAATTGTGCATCCCTATAACGAATGTAAGAGGATCCCAGGAGAACACCTGTAATGTTTTTTTCCCAAAAAAATTCATGTAGAAATCGCGCATCGGACATTTATTTTGCGTACAAAAATTCACGTTTCTGACCATTTGTGATCATTTTTGCTATTTCTGTATGGAAAGTATACAAATATACCACAACTTAATTTAATCGCAAAATAAATGCCAGATTTCTACATGAAATTTTTTGGGGAAAAACATTACAGATGTTCTCCTGGGATCCTCCCACATAGGTTATGGAGGTGTACATAATAATTTTAAAAAAACGAGGCACCCTACTGGGTAGGCGGTTTAAGACTAAAACTTTTAGTTAACATAATTCATTTTTAGTTGATTGGAGCTAGTCAGTCAACCAGTCTTTTTTTTCCCATACGGATCTGGTGAAAGTGGGAAATATTAATAAAAAGATGTCCAATTCAATAAAAATGAATATGCAGCAACCTTCATGGCATTGATAATTTTTTTTTCATATTTTACTTTCAATTCTTCGAATCTCGAATATCATTCCACGAATGAATCGGTAATTGATAACAAATATTCAAGTTAATCCAAAATGAATGAGTTTCAGAATGTATTTTCCATTTAATAAATATCTTACACATTTTTTATTCAATATTTTTACATGTTTTTTTCCAGTTACAAACATATGTGATATCATAAGATCAAATTGAAGGCCGTCTATCTATTTTCTTCGTTTGAGTTTAATGGAATTGTTGTCTCCCCCGCGTTCGAATATAAAGTTCAGTACCAAATGATAAAGCGTTATTTTCAATTCTACCATCACATATAAGCATCCGACGCAATCACGTGGTCCAATACCGAATGCGCCAAATGTTCCGGGAACATGAGCTTTTCGATTTTCGTCACTGTATCGGTTGGGATCGAACACAGATGGATTTGGATAGTATTTTGGATCATTTTGCAAAATGAATGCTGGAAGCCACACTCCGTCACCAGGTTTAACTGGAATTTTTTCGCCGTTAATATTTTCAAGTACATACGATTTGGTAGCACGACGCTTAAGCTCTGGGGCAATTGAACACATTCTCAATCCTTCTTCGATTACCATCTTAGCGTACTTCATGTCATTCAAGAGTTCATAATTAAGATCATTGTCACCAATTCGTGCCTTTACCTCGACCATTTCTTTGTGCAATCGCTCTTGAATAACGGAATTTTCAGCAAGCTGTTGTGCCAAAAACGTTGTCAAAAGATTATTTTCAAGGATGACAGATTCAAAAAATTCAAAGCATTGTGATATCAGCTCAACATCATCGTAATCTATATGGGTAAAAAAAACGTTCGATTAATAATGATAATTTCAACTAAACGTTGAAGCTTTCATACTTGTTGGCACGTTATCACTTTTTTTATCACGTATAACTTGAAGCAATTGAATGTAATCGTTACGATTGATTTTGTTTTCGATGCGTTTGTCAGCAATTTCAATGCATGATTTTGTGAAAAATTCCTGATCTTTCGGGTGCATGAAAGTTTTTCCGAATAGAAATTTCATGATGCGTGGAAACCAAACGACTGCCCAGAATACAGCTCGATTCAATGTACCTTCATATTCCATATATTTTTTTGAACACTCCAAAAATCCGTATTCGTTTCCATTTGGACGAAGTGAGTCGGTTTTCAGACCAAATGCCGTCAAACAGAATCCATCAACACAAGAACGTGTACTTAAATCCATCATGTCAACGATCATCTCTTGGTTGTTCACTTTCTCTATTTCGTCTTTTAAATATTCTATCAATTCACGTTTATTTTCATTCAACGAAGGGATCACGATTTGTTTCAACTTTTGACCGCTTAACAGTGGAGTGAGCACATTTCGGATGCGACGCCATTCATCCGTTTTTAAATTCGTCAATTGATTGCCAAGCATTGAGTCCGTCCCAGGATGAATATCATTGATTCGATTCACAAACGAGCTAAAATCTCTTATCGCTATTTGACGAAGCAATTCTGGATCGCGAATCAAAAACTCTGGACGACCGCCAATACCTTGCAACACCACGAATCGTTCATTTGGATACTTATAATACAATCGTTTTAATGTGCTGTGCCATGATTCAATATTGAAAATTTCACGCCAATGCGAACCAAACGGGGGAATTCCGAAATCACACTTTATGTCACTGCGTAATATTGTATACCAGGTTTTGAAAAGATCATAAAATAGCCACGAAATGGCAAGTAAAACCGTTGAAATCATTGCAAGTCGAAATTCTTCGTCCATTTTTTTCTTAGTGAATAATGACACATCCAGTTCATGGGATTTGATGGATGAAACTGATTATCAACGAATAATTCACTTCGAACTTTCAATTGATTCTTATCGGTTTGCACTGCACAATCACCTTTTTTAAAGATACGATAAGAATATAATCAGTTCAAGTTTAGAACAAAGAAAAATAAGAAATGTCATAATATGTCTACACATAACATTGGGCTCTATAAAGTTTGAATGGAAGAAGAGACAGAGAGAAAGAAAAGATAAGCATTTAATGCACGAGACATCAATACAAATATCAATTATTTGCTTAAGAAACTATTTACTCTCTATTGGTTTTACTTATTATTATTTTTTGCAGACTTATTGTTCTATTTACGGAGAGTGAACTAGTGAAGTTTTACCAAAAAATATCTACGCGTTTAAAAAATATCCGATGTTTGCACTTTCAAGGGCGCACACTACCCAGGGGGTCAAAGTTCCCGATTGGGCTCAAACTTCACATAATTTTAGTGATTAATTAGTGAAAATTTGTGACGCAATTTTTAGAATTTGTGACGCTCCAGAAAAAAAGTTACAGGCCTAAATTTGAAAAAGCCTATTCATCAAAAAGTCTATAAATAAAATTTTGAAAAATTCGAAATAAAACAAAAGGAGTGAGTACGACGTTTCCCCCTTTGCTAAGCGAAATAAATCCGATATGCGGCGCTGATTTAAATGTCACTCTATGTCATTCCACAATGATACATTTTTTGGCTTGACAATATATAAGCTCTTCATTCAACATGCATAATTTTTGAACGGTCGAGTAAAAAAAAGAAACATATCATAAAATATTCTTCTTACGTTTATCATAAAAATTCTCTATATTTTAAATTTATTTGTTTAAAAATAACAATAATTTCATTTTTTTTTTTTCATAGATTGAACAAGAATCTAATGTAAAAATTAATACCAATGCGACACCTACCGTTAAAATAGAAAAGGAAACTTATTTGGAATTGTAACATTTTGGTCCGCCATAACAGCATCTTCGTTTTGCTTCTCTGTGATTGGTCAAGTAAAACGAAGATGCTGTCATGGTGGACAAAAATGCTACAATGGATACCAACTAAGTTTCTTTTTGCATTTTTACGGTAGGTGTCGCATTGTCATTACTATTTACATTGGATTCTTATTTAATCGATGAAACATTTTTTGTTGAAATTATTGTAATTTATAAACAAATTAATTTTTTTATAAAAAAAAAAATTTTAATTAATTTTTTAATGAAAAATGTTAGAAAAATATTTTATGACATGTTTTTTTTTCAACGATTCAATAATTATGAATGTGTATGCATTTTAAATGAAGAGCTTATATATTGTCAAGCCAAAAAAGTATTATTGTGAAATGACAGAGTGACATTTACATCAGCGCCGTATATCGAATTAATTTCGCTTGGCATAGGGGGAAATATTTTGACAGATAGTACTCGATCCTTTCAAAAAACTAATGATGCAGTATTTTAGTGATTAATTTGTGATTTCCAAAAATGTTTTGAAAATTTCGATACGACATCAATTGCCCAAAAAAGAATTATTATCGAAATTTCGAAAAGGCTTTCCATAAAAACAACCGTAATCATAAAAATTCTTCTACACAGATTTAGTGACCAATTTGTGATTCCCAAAAATGTCAACATTTGAATTTGTGACACAACGTGTGTGACAAAAATCTCAATTTTCGATTTTCACACTAAAAGTCGAAAACAATGAAATTTTGCAAATCGAATACGTAGATCCAAATAAATGGGGTCATATTTTAGTGACCAATTTGTGACTCTCAAAAATGTCAAATTTTGAATTGGTTGAATCTCATGAATTTGATGAACATCGTCCACGAAAGTCGTCCATAACAAACTTAACGGAATTGACTTCAAAATCGATTATCAACATGGGAAAGGGATATCAGACTTACAACATTTATTTAGACATTGCCAAGGCTTTTCGATTAGTCAATAATAATAATAACATTCTGATTAAGAAGCTAGACACAGCTGTTAAAATGGATCGGATCTTACGAGACAAGATTATTCCATTGGTGCAACTTTGATCATCATGTTTGTCATCGATCTACCTTTCGTCGTGTCCAATCCGAAAAATTGAGATTTCTGTCACACACATTGTGTCACAAATTCAAATGATAACATTTTTGGGAGTCACAAATTGGTCACTAAAATATGACACCATTTATTTGGATCTAAGTATTCGCTTTGCTAGATTTCATTCAACTTCGACTTTTGGTGTGAAAATCGAAAAATTGACATTTCCGACACACACGTTGTGTCACAAATTCAAGTGATGACATTTTTGAGAGTCACAAATTGGTCACTAAAATATGACACCATTTATTTGGATTTAAGTGTTCGCTTTGCCAAATTTCATTCAACTTCGACTTTTAGTGTGAAAATCGAAAAATTGACATTTCTGTCCCAAGGAGGGTGTCACAAATTCAAATGATGACATTTTTGAGAGTCACAAATTGGTCACTAAAAGATGACACCATTTATTTGGATCTAAGTATTCGCTTTGCTAGATTTCATTCAACTTCGACTTTTGGTGTGAAAATCGAAAAATTGACATTTCTGTCACACACGTTGTGTCACAAATTCAAAAGATGACATTTTTGAGAGTCACAAATTGGTCACTAAAATATGACACCATTTATTTAGATCTAAGTATTCGCTTTGAAAAATTGACATTTCTGTCCCAAGGAGTGTGTCACAAATTCAAATGATGACATTTTTGGGAATCACAAATTGGTCACTAAATCTGTGTAGAAGAATTTTTATGATTACGGTTGTTTTTATGGAAAACCTTTTCGAAATTTCGATAATAATTCTTTTTTGGGCAATTGATGTCGTATCGAAATTTTCAAAACATTTTTGGAAATCACAAATTAATCACTAAAATACTGCATCATTAGTTTTTTGAAATTTTGTTTTATTTCGAATTTTTCAAAATTTTATTTATAGACTTTTTGATGAATAGGCTTTTTCAAATTTAGGCCTGTAACTTTCTTTCTGGAGCGTCACAAATTCTAAAAATTGCGTCACAAATTTTCACTAATTAATCACTGAAATTATGTGAAGTTTGAGCCCAATCGGGTACTTTGACCCCCTGGGTAGTGTGCGCCACTTTCAAGTGTGAAAAAGGATTAAAATGAGATAAAAACAGACAAAATTAAAAAAATCTCAGTAATTCAGAAAGAACACGTTTTGTACATGTTTTTGATATATAGTACACATTTCTACTTTTTTTATTGAAAAAAATCCGCGTTTTTAGAACACAGCCGAATTTTCGATATTCTGTAAATAAAAAAAAATCACTCACCTGAATAAAATAATTCCAAAGGCATCGGAAAGAACACGTTTTGTACATGTTTTTGATATATAACATTTTTAATTT